CTCTTGTCCAGGTTGCTCAGCCAGCTATTTCATCAGAACTTTCCGTCGGTCCCCCATTACTATCGAAATCTGGTCCGATGCCATCCGCCATAAAGCCTCTTCCTCCACTTCCCGTGGGTGCCTCAGCTCAGCCATTGCCTCTTGTTCTCTCTGCTCATACAGAGGATTCAAGCCAGACAATCCATCTCGCCGTCGGGTCCGATAGTTTTTTGTCTCCGAACAGCCATTTTGCTCAACCACCTTGTCCAATTGTGCCCAACCGATTACCAACACCAACAATGACCCCTTTGGTTGCTAGCACAGTTGTTAATAGATCTTCCAAACTCACTGATGTGTCATGCTCTTCAACTTCTAATATGATGATAATGAGAATGATGCCTGCTTCCAACTCAGCAGCTACATTCGTTGTCAATGCGCCCACAGCCACTTCTTCCAACGCTACTGGTCTTGTTGGCTTGCCTCTTATGCCACTTATGATACCTACAGTTGGTAATATGCTTTCTGCCTCGTCCCATTTGAGTCCTACTATTTCTGTGCCGATCGATGGTATGCAGCAACATTCCGGCTCTAAATGGCTCCCTTGGGTCTCTCAACCAGGAGCTGTAAACAACTGCTCAGGAGGCGTTGTTACTGCGGTTCCTAGTCGTCAACACCTATCCTGCTCTATCTTGCCTCGACAGATGGTTCCCCCATTGACGCATATTCCTTTCTCCGAGAGCCAACACCATTCTCAACCCCACCATAATCATTCTCGTCAGCATCAACAAATAGGTAGGCTTCAAGAATATCCATTTCCCATTCCCTCAGGTGCGTTCGTATCCCCCCCACCAAACCAGGTATTCCAGACAGCGCTCCACCAACAGATGTTTCCTTCCCCACATACTCAGCTTATTCTCAACACTCCATCTAACTTAGCCTACTTAAACCAGCAGCACCAGCAGTCTCATCATCAGCTTCCAATTCATCCATCTTTATCGCATCAACAATATCAACAACAGAGTATTGACTGTATGATTTCTATCAATGCGGCTAATTCCAAAGGACCAGACTCTCCTATTCATGGTCTTAATTTAACTGCGAGTAAACGGACTGATCATCCCAATAAAAATGTAGATGAATATGAGGAAGAGGGAGAATTGGAATACGAAGAAGAGGCAGAGGATGATGATGAAGAAGAAGAGGACGTGGAAGAGGAAGATGAGGAAGAGGAACGAGATAATGAAGAGACAGGAATCCAAAATCAGCGTCGCACAAACGTACAGAACAGGTTGACTGGAAAAACTGGTGCAACCGCTTATCCGAGTAGTGATCGGGCTTTAATTCAAAGCCATGCATACTCTCGACGACATAATCAGTATCATGTCCAACCTAATTTGCTTTCTTCACATGACACGTCAATTACTAGTACGACATCCAACCCTCAAT